CACAACATGCAAAAACATATACAGACATTAATAGTACTTAAAATATTGAAAATTGAAGTAAAACAATAATTATTTAATACTTGTTAGGTAGTGGATGTACCAATCATTCTTTTTTTACACCTTTTATAGTTATTACTGACTTATTATAAAATTTAATATTTAGATAAAATAATTAAAATTGCATTTAAAACTAATACCAATGTACAGTTAAAATACATTTTCTACTAGAGCACTAACATGTGACATATAATAAAAATTTACATTTTTAAGAAAAAAATAAAACTAATAGAAAAGCATATTATAAATAAAATTAAAACCAAAAATCCAACTAAAAAAATAAATTAATTAAAAGAATAGAGTTCAAATATTGAAGATAAATCAAAAAGTTTATATTTTTCAAACACACATTCATGTTGATCAGCACGATTAAGTTATACTTAATATAAGATAAGTCAATACTAACAATTTTAAACTATTTATTTAATCATTTTACTTAACTAATTGTAAAAAGAAGTTTGTATACAGATACAGAAGTTATAGATCTTTTGATTTCAATCATAATTAATACTATAATTTAATGTTTTAATTGATTTTTAAGGTATTTCAAAGAAATTATTATTATTTAGAAGCTATTACTTCTGAGTCTATTTTAGTTTTAAAGAGATCAATGAAATGAGGGCACTAAACTCGCATTTGTAGTCTCTAACTTTTATAATGTAATATACTAATATAACAGAGAACCTGAGCAACTAATTTTGTATTGATAGTTTTAATATTATAGTAATTTTAATTTAATACAGCAAATTGACCTTTTTCAAAATAAAAAATAAGAATATTACAGTATAAGTATAAGAATATTATAGTATCTAGGGCATCTCATTGACTTTTATTGATAAATTAATTTTAAATTGAGTTATGAACATTTTAAAATTGTATTAGTTTTCATAGTTGTAGCAGTATAACACACTTAAAATAAAAAGCTTAAATGAGCCCTAGATTATATATTCTAAGTTTGATAGTAAATCGGCTCACTTAAATATCAAAGATAACAATACAAAAATTGGTTCTTTAAACGCAGATTTACTATTTTGTGAATGTAAGACAAATACATGCGGATTCACTTAATGGTTTGTGAAAGTCTGTTGAGAATTTGAGATGCATACATGTATAACTGATATCTATCAGTATATAATTGCTAAGTTGTATACATGGTCAAAATAGAAGTAAATAAAATATGTGCTTCAATATTTAAGTCTTTTTTACTTACAGCATTTATAAAACCTAGTGGCCAGGAATTTGATGTGAAAAGATTGAAAATAAACTTCTTTAATTAAAATGAAAAATTGTAAATTGCTCCAATAATTAAATAAGTTAAAATCACAACCAAAAACTCAATCCACACACGTAAAACATATTTTCACAAATTAATGAAGAAATTTAACTCTATTGTTTCACCTGGAAGCTAAGGTGGAAGATTGGGGTGCAACACTAAAACTTTGCGCCTGATTAAAATCTCCTGTACTACTCCATCGCTTTGAATTATACAAATTTGTGCCATTTGAACGCTGAGGTTTTTGAGCCGTTCCAGGCCTTGTAGGTGAAGGGGATGGTGATGCTGGAGGTACTGGTGATACACTGCTAGAACTTGGGGAGTCAGAATGTAAYGAACCAGTTGATTGGTAATGTACAGCTCTCCTAAAAATTAAAAATARTTATAATTGAAAATAAAAAAAAAGACAATTAATTTTCAAAGGTACACAATATATTACCTTTGAGGTAAAGAAGAATGAGAGTTATTATAACTGGGAACTCTTCTAACAGGATCCCTTAGTGCAGATACAGGGTGTTCATTTGCAGATCTATAACGAAGTGTTACTTCTTTTTGTGATAGGGTTGGTGAAATCAAATGATGACCATTTCCGCCATAATGGTTTCCTAATAAAAAATAAAAACATTAAAAAAAAATTAATATATTATTCAAATTAATTTCTTAATAGATTAATAGATATACGATAATGATAAATGTGCTATATTATGAATCAATATGACGTAATAGT